GCCCGTAGAGGGCTTCAAATAACAGAAAGAATCTCAAAAAGACGCCGTGTATTTCCAGTCAGAGGACAATCATGAAAGAATAATAGCCAAAAGAGGAAAAGTTTTAAGAAATTACGGGTTCAAACACGAGTTGAAAATGACTTTTCTTTTTAATTTTTACGCGAAACAGAGGAGGTTGAAACGTTAAGGAAAAAATGGTGGGGCAAGCAGTCATACCTGGCAACTTCAAGAGAAGATATAAGCAAAGCCCATACGATTCTGGCGTCTTGATTTACTAACTCATTGTTATCAGGTGTACAGTCTCCAATCGACTGCTGATGTCTAAACTCGAAGTAGTTAAAATTATCACTCACGCTCAAAAGAGTATAATTTCAATTGATGCCGACATCGTGTTAAACGATAAAAATAGAACTATATTTAATCTGAAATACTGCAAGGGTTTCCATATATGGGTGTTAGGAAAAAGAATGGAAATATTATATTACTTTAAGCCATTCGATACAAAAATTATAATAAGACGGGTTGATTATTTCTTATTCCTTTTGGCGATCTCATCTAAGTACAATTTCTTTCACCTTTTTTCTTATTGCGGTTGTGAATTTGGTACGGAAACGGTTGCTCCGTTTCTACGGTGATTAGATCTTGTTGTACTATTTTGTAATAAGCTATGTTTTTAATTATGTCAATTTTCTAGTTGTAAATCTCTCTGGTAAAAGTTAACCTCGCACAGGAATTCCTGGAAACTCCTGCTTCTTATACTATTGATTACAATAGACTGGTTTTTTTTTCTTTAAGTCAAATTCACGATTCCAGAATATTTCTCAAATTTTAAGTTAACACCTTCGACACCTCTTTTTAAAAAAGGTGATTCTGATTGTAAATAGCTTATGCTTTTTCATCTCCGCACTGAATTTGTAATTATATAAATTATGCAAATAGCACGTAGTTTTCTTAGGGGCGGTACCTTGGGTACGCCCCTTCTTCTCCGAATTTTCTGTTTACTCTGTTGTTATATAACAATCCTCTAAGGCTATTTTCTCGTAAACTATCTTTTCAAGCGTAATTTCAATTCTGCCAATAGGTTAATTATAATTTTCATATTATCAATCTTGCCTTCGTTCTGGCCGGTCTTAACCCTAATA